CCTCACCCCCATCCCAGGCCCCAAGAAGACCTTCCACATCAAACAGATGTTCACCTGCACATCTGCTAATGTGGTATACTGCATCCGCTGTTCCCGTTGTGGCCTCCTCTACATCGGAGAAACCAAGCAGAGGCTTGGGGACTGCTTTGCGGAGCACCTACACTTGGTTTGCAACAAACGACTGCACCTCCCAGTCACGAACCATTTCAACTCCCCCTCCCATTCCTTAGACGACATGTCCATCCTGGGCCTCCTGCAGTGCCACAAAGATGCTACCCGAAGGTTGCAGGAACAGCATCTCATATTTCGCATGGGAACCCGGCAGCCCAATGGTATCAATGTGGACTTCACAAGCTTCAAGATCTCAAGCTTCAAAATCTCCTCTCCCCCAGCCGCATCCCAAAACCAGCCCAGCTTGTCCCCACCTCCCTAACCTGTCCTTCCTCCCACCTATCCCCTCCTCCCACCTCAAGCTCCACCCCCAACTCCGACCTACGAACCTCATCCCACCCCCTTGATCTGTCTGTCATCCCTGGACTGACCTATCTCCTCCCTATCTCCCCACCTACACTCCCCTTTTACTGGCTCCATCCCCGCCTCTTTGACCTGTCTGTCTCCTCTCCATCTGTGTTCATCCAGCTCTGCACCTTGTTATCTCAGCTTCTCCAGCATCTGCAGTTCCTACTATCTTTCACAAAGTGATGTGACTCTCTGGAGAAGTGCAGACTTTGCAGGCACTGACACCCTGATGTGAACAGGTATGTCATTTGTAGCTGTACACTGTTGTTTGATATTGTTGCCTACTTTTGGGTGCCTCTCTGGTGTAAGCATGTTCCCTCACCTGGATAGCAAGGTGCAGCTGTCCTCTTCTGTCTCCTCTTTTTCTCCTCACTGGAGGAGTGGCCTCTTCCCCAGTGCACTGTGCCAATGAGGGACAGTAAACTCCTGGTGCAATTATGGAGTCCTCAAAGATCATCAAAGCCTTGACTGCAGGCTTCTCTCTGAATGGGAGTCTCTGAGAAATATATCTATGAGGATGAACACTGAGGCTATACAGGGATTTAAACACAAATTTGAGAGTTTGAGCAACTGAGCTAGTTTAGTTTAGCAAGGATAGGTGGATGGGTGATTAGGAAAGAGTACAGGGAACAAATAGGATTGAAGTTTAAAGTGAAAAGAATGGGAGGCATTGAATACAGTAACAAATAATGTTCATTTATAAAGTACACTTTTAGAGTGGTAGAAATCTGAAACTCACCACCTGGAAGGATGGTGGAAGCAGAAACCCTCATTGTATTTAAGGAGTATTCAAATGTACACTTGTGATGCCAAGCCATCCAAAGCCATGGGCTAAGTGCTGGAAAATGGGATTAGAATAGTTACTCTTTTTTTTACCAATGTAATGCACTGAAGGGTCTTTTCCTGTGCTATAGATTTCTATGGCTGTGACTTGCAAATGCTCTCACTTGCACCAGCAGCTTCTTCCGCTAAACCCAGCCACACCACTTTTCAATGCACCCTGGCAACACCTGCTCATACCTGGTAATACTCAGTCCCAACATGTTTCCTATGCACTGAGCAAAAAATGGAGTGGACTATGTAAAATCTGTATCAATTGCCTTGTTCAGATGCTGAATTGCAAATTGAGCAGAAGAAAAGGAATGGGTGGTGAAGGACCGTGCACCCAAAAGGGGCACCTGTGGAAAGAATAGATAGTAGATTTTAGTTATGTAGCCTTCCTCAAAGACCCATGTCTAAGATGTCAATTTCTTTCCATTGATGCTTTGTGACCGTCAGGGTGACTCCAGCTCTATTTTTCTTTTCACTGATATGTCTTCCATGAAAGACTTGGAAACCTTTTTATTAGAACAAAGGAAATTACAGGATATTTGATAAATGTGTTGAAAATTATCAAGGGATTGAACTGTGTAGATAGATGTTGGACATTTCAAATGATTGAGTGAACTAGAACAAGGATACATGGAATTAAGATAAAGTGTAAGTAGGTTATGACTAAGAGCAGATAATTTTTTTAAACTGTTACTAAGGTCTGTGAAGTTGCATGGAATGCTCAACTGTAGTACAGATTGACTAGATGTTAACATTTGAGAATCAGTTACATGCATTGTTGAAGGAAATTGGAACAAAATAAAATGGAAAGATGCTTATGATTAGTTACAACCACATATATGGAGGATGAATCTAGCAAGGACAGGTTAGGCTGATTAACTAATTTCCATGCTGCAATTTCTAAAAGAAAGCATAGGGCGACACATCAATCTGTTATCTAGAATCAGACCCAGAATCAGTAACCCCAGTTGTTCAGAACAGATCACACACTGCTCCAATCTATTGTATATACTATACCTTATACACTGTAAACCATGAATTTATGATATTGTATTCTAAACAAATGCCATTGGAGCAACAGTCCTTAAAGTTATTTCAAGATGCTTTATCAATTTTCATTCATTTCTTTTTCACAGAGCTTGCGCCATCTTGGGTGTTATATTTCTTGTTTCAACCCTCTGCATTTATGGTAAAGCTATTCATGACCTTGCTACGAAGCTGCTTCCCGAAGTGGTAAGAGAATTTTACTTTAATTTCTGTGGACTTTGAGGAGAACCAGAAAATTGGTGAACAGCTACATCTAACTTAGGTGGTCAACAAGTAATGACGTTTGAAAATTATTACTGGAATTGGGGTAAAAAGTTGAGCAGCAACACTGGCCAGAAAATTCTCCAGTAAATTCCTCTTGCCAGAATATTCCACTAACATGACTTTGCCTAATGCACTACAATTCATACACGTGAAAATGGAGTTTCTGCTGTACTTCCAAAGCAGCTCCCAGGAATTTTACAACTGTTATTTTTGTCAGAGGTCTTTGCAAACTGTGTGTAAACTTTGATGATTTAGCTTTATTTCAGATTTCCTAGACAGTAACAAAAGCTCAATGAGTTCCTTTGAGAATACCAGGACCACACTCCCAAATCTCAATGGGTCAGTGGGCTGAGGAGTGGCAAATGGAGTTTAATTTTGGATAAATGCGAGGTATTGCATTTTGGTAAAACAAGCAAGGGTAGGACTTATACAGTCAACGGTAGGGCCTCGGGTAGTGTTGTAGAACAGAGAGACCTCGGGGTTCAAGAGCATAATTCTTTGAAATTAGCATCACAGGTAGACAGGGTGGTTAAGAAGGCATTCAACATGCTTGCCTTCATTGCTCAGACTTCTGAGTATTAGAATTGGGATGCCATGTTGAGGAGTACAGGACATTGGTGAGGCCTGTTCTGAAGTAATGTGTGCCGTCCTGGTCGCCCTGCTATAGGAAGGATAAAATTGAAGAGGGTTTGGAAAAGATTCACCAGGACATTGCCAGAAATGAAGGGTTTGAGTTATAAAAATAGACTGGATAGGCTGGGACTTGTTCCACTGGACCATAAGAGGTTCAGGGGTGGACTTATAGAGGTTTATAAAATCACGAGCAGCATAGATAAGCGATTAGCAAGAGTCTTTTTCCCAGGATGAAGCAGTTCAAAACCAGGGGGCATATTTTTAAGGTGAGAGGAGAAAGTTTTAAAAAGGACATGCGGGACAACAGAGACTGGTTCATGTACGAAATGAACTGCCAGAGGAAGTGATGGATGCAGGTACAGTTACAACATTTAAAAGACATTTGAATAATTATATGAATAGAAAAGGTTTGGATGAATATGGGCCAAATGAAGGCAAGTGGGACTAGTTTAGTTTGGAAACATGGTCAGCATAGACTAGTTGGACCAAAGGGTCTGTTTCCATGCTGTATGATTCTATGATACATGGGGGATGAATAATTGTTAATTGAGACATCAACTATATTCTCATGAGTTGAAATGTAGTTGACGTCAGCACATTCTAATTAGTGCAGAAGATTCCCACAGTTCAATTAGTTTAAAGCAGTTCCATAAATATGCTGTAGACTGGTATGACAAAGACAAAGTTTTTCTTTTTAGTTCAGTTTCTAATAAACTAAATGGTCACTGTGTTGGTAACGTCATAATATTTTTAATGAGATTATAATTCAAAAAACATGTATTGCACATGGTTCAAATTTTTAAAAAATTGTACAGTATATTTAGCATAATCACACATAGTATAAACATTATTGCTTCGGGACATGTTTGACATGGTATCTGTCTCACCAATATGTTTCACGCAGGCACAGCACACGTACATAAATTATTGTGTATTTTCAGTTTAAAAATAAGGAACAGAGAGAAAACATTCAGGTCCATTAAATCTTCTCTTTCAACAGATCATGTCCAACTTAACTTTTACAGACTTTATTCCATCTTTTAAAGGGTTCAGGGATACAGACTTTATTCCATCTTTTAAAAGGTTCAGAGATCAGTTGCAATCAATTGTACGATCAATTCCCTAAAAGTAATCTCCCAAATCTCAAGAATTTTCAATTTCTACTATTTGGTACAATCTTTCTCCATTTCATAAAGAGCACCTATGCCCATCAGGCTTGAGGACCGCATTGACATTTTTAAAAATTCATTCATGGGATGTGGGTGTTGCTGGTTGGGTCAGCATTTATTACCCATCCCCAGTTGCCTTTCAGACACACATGGTGCAGTACAAGGGAGTTTCAGAGTTTTGACCCAGTGACACTGAAGGAACTGTGAACTAACTTCAAAGTCAGGATGGTGTGTGGCTTGGACACAACCTTGAGGTGCAAGGATTTTCATACATCATGTGCCCTCCTCTTTCTAGATAGAGCTCAAGGGTTTGGAAACTGTTATTGGAGGATCTTTAGTGGATTGCCACAGTGTGCCTTGTGTATGGTGCACTATCTAAGTGTACGAGAAGTTGCAAATGGGGAATATTGTCAGAGATGACACACTATTGGGTTATAGTCCAACAGGTTTATTTGAAATCTCAAGCTTTCGGAGCGTAGCCCCTTTGTCAGGTGAAGTGAGAGAGTAGCGCACAGAACACAATTTATGGGCAGAGAGAGATCAAGGGCAGACAGATCAAAAGACCATAAAATTGGTGTGAGTGGAGTGCCGAATAATAAATTCCTGCAGGTGATCCAAAGTGTTAGATGGTGTGACTAAAGTGTCAACAGCTGAATAACAAGTGAAGGGATAACCTATAATCCAATTAAATGATCTCCAGTTCTGATCTTATGGTCAAGGGAAGGTCATTGTTAAAAAAATAGAGGATGATTGGGCTTATGCAATACCCTGAGGTATACACTTGACATTTCCTAATATTTCAATTTTATCTTTTCCAAGATGTGCTGGGCTCCCTTGTCATCGTGGATGAGGATATCTGTGAACACTCCTCCTCCAGTTCATTGTTTAATTGGCCACAAGCATTCATAATTTGATGTGGCAGGACTGCAGACCTTAAATCTAATAGGGGATCTCTTAGCCCTGGCTATTGCATGCTGCTTCTGCTTCCTGACATGCAGGTAGTCCTGTGTGATAGCTTCAGTAGCTTGACCCCTCATTTACAGGCATGTCTGGTGCTGCTACTGGAACGTGCATGTACACTTTTCAGTTAACAATGTGATATAAGGTGTGTGATTTTTATATAATTTAGTATATATAATTTAGAATTTGGATTTTGAATTATTGGCATGTTGCTTCTGGCTTGACAGATCATGTTTTCTTTTTACTTTTCTTGAAAATGTAGTCTTTTACTGAACAAGCAGATAATGCTGCAGATTTGGTTCTGTACAATAATATCAGAATAAGAAGTTGCCCAATTACGGCACAGAGGACAAAGAATTTCTTCCCTTGGAGGGTCAAGAATCTGTGAAGTTCTTTACTACAGAGGGCTGTAGAGGCTGGGTTTTAATTTTTTTTGTTTTGATTTGATTTGATTTATTGTTGTCACATGTACTGAGATACAGTGAAAAGTATTGTCTTGTGTGGTAACCAGACAAATCATATCTTACATAAGTTCATCAGAATTATAGAATAGAATACAGAATGTAGTGTTATATGTACAAATTCTGCGAAAGGGAAATCTTGCTTAACTAATTTGTTGGAGTTCTTTGAAGGAGTAACTTGCACTGTGGATGAAGGATAGCCTGTAGATGTAGTGTGACAGGATTTCTAGAAGGTATTTGTCAGTAGGCCACATAAAAGGCATAATGCAGGAGTTCGTGATGTGGTGGGTAACAGATTAGCATGGATAATTGGTTGACTGACAGAAAACAATGAAGTATATATAAGTGGGTCTTTTTCTGATTATAAGGATGTGATGAATGGAGTCTTACAAGGATCTGTGCTGGGCGTCAGCTTTTCACAATCCATATCAGTGACTGGGAAGGCATGATAACGATGTTCAAGAATAGCTTCTTCCCTGCTGTTATTAGACTTCTGAATGGACCTCCAAATTTCAAATCTAACTTTGATCTTACTTTTTGTACATTTTCTTTGCGGCTGTAACTTTGTATTCCTCGCTCTGTTCAATCACACTGTGATCTTTGTGTCTTTATATTTTATGATCTGCCTGTACTGCACGCAAAACAAAACTTTTCACTGTACTTAGGTGCATGTGACAATAATAAATCAAATCAAAAACTTTTATAGATGACACAAAGATAGGTTGAAAGGTAGGTTCTGAAGAGGATGTAGGAGGATGCAGCGGGATATATATAGGTTGAGTTAATGGGTAAAAATCTGGCAGATGGAATATAATCTGGGAAAATGTGTAGTTGTTTGATTTGGAAGTCAGAATAAAAAAAACTACCTAAATAAAGAATGACTGCAAATTTCAAGGCACAAAGAGATTTAGGTGTTCAAGCACGAAGGTCATTAAAGGTTAATATGCAGGTACAGCCAAGTGATTAAGAAGGCTAATGGAATGCTATCCTACATTATAAGAGGAATTGACCATAAAAGTAAGGCAACTACTTTTATATAGGAAATTGATAAGACCACATCTTGAATATTGTGTGCAGTTTTGGTCTCCTTATTTAAGAAAGGGTGTAAGGTTAAGAGGAGATTTACTAGATTGATACCTGGAGCAAGCAGATGTGTACAATATTATTTGTAAGATGTTGGGATAGCCCATGGACAAAGATGGCACAAAATGGCGGCCCATGGATTTTCAGTTGGCATAAAATGGTAGAGAAGATTTTTAGCTGGAGTAACAGAATTAGCTTGCTTGGTTCAGTATTAAAGTGAGACCATTAGGCAGGACAATGATACCTTTGAGCAGCAGATCAATCCAAAGTTACAGAGTCTAGGCAGAACAAAGAATCTTGCAAATTAATATACAGGCAGTTTTGTACAAACCACAGCTACAGATGTCTCTAAGACGCAGTCTGATAAGAGACGTCTGGGAACAGACAGCCCAAAGTTTGTAGCTTAGCAAGAATTAAAAAACAAAGAACGAATCCCCAATAACAGTGACAAAAGTTCAGACAAGTTCACTGAGCTGTGAAAATAATTGAGTTTCAGTATTATTAATAGAGCAGATGTTGTCTTATTAAATAAAAGAGTTAGTGTAGAAATATTTAGTGCAGGCTCAGTAAATTTCATATTAGAAGACAGCATGTGACTAGAATGAGTTCTAGTTGT